CGCAACGACCAGCTGACGGCGAAGAGCTTCGTGGAGGTGAGCGCCATCGTGCAGTCGCTGGCCGGCAGCAAGGTGACCCGCATCAAGTACGCCCAGGTGCTGGTGCAGGAGTTTCTGGTGCAGGGCGACCTGGGCTGGGCGGTCCAGTTCATTGACCTGCTGCCGGAAGGTTTTGAGCTGGGCGGGAAGAAGAGCGACCAGGCGCGCATCAAGGAGGACCTGGAGGAGATTGCAAAGGTAGGTGTGTTTGGCTATTTCAACCCTTTTGTTTACATTTTTCTTCTCTATTTTAGAACGACACCCTCGTGGAGATGCAGCACTTTGGCATGGGCAAGACCTACTACGACTACCTGCTGCTGGGCCCCATGAAGCTGCACTTGAGCGTCACCATGGGCGACCTGCCCGAGGGAAAGATGCCCGCATTTGTGGACACCGCTGTCCGCTTCACCGGACTGACGCTGGCGGAGATCAACNACCATGGGCGACCTGCCCGAGGGAAAGATGCCCGCATTTGTGGACACCGCTGTCCGCTTCACCGGACTGACGCTGGCGGAGATCAACGGGACGCTCTTCAAGCTGGACTACTTTGAGCGCACGCAATGGGCGTGCAGCAATGAGGAACTGATCAAGGCCATTGCCCACCACTACGCACTGCAGATCGCCGCGCAGCTGTACAAGCTGATCCTCGGCCTGGACATTATCGGCAACCCCGGTAAGCTGGCCAGCGACATCACCCGAGGAGTGGGCGACTTCTTCTACGAGCCGGCCGCCGGCATCGTCGTCGGCCCGGAGGAGTTTGCCGAGGGCGTCGCCACCGGCGTTCACTCGCTGACCACTAATCTGGTGGGCGGAACGGCGGCTGCCCTCGGTCGCATCGGCCACCGCCTGGGCACCGGCGTGGCCGCCCTCTCCGCCGACGAGAAGTTCCAAAAGGAGCGCCGCGAGCGCACGAACAAGGAGGCGACCTTCAGCGCCAGCGGCAAACACCTCGTCCGTGGCTTCGTCGACGGCGTCAGTGGCCTGGTGAGCAAACCGGTGGAGGGCGCTCAGCGCTCCGGCTTTGGCGGCCTCCTCCGTGGCGTCGGCCAGGGCCTGGTGGGCGTCATCGTGCAGCCGGCCACCGGCGTGCTGGACGCCGCAGCCACTGGGCTGCACGCCTTCAACAACTCCATCGACGCGAAGACGGTGGCCAGGGCGGCGCGTCCGCCGCGTCACTTTCCCGCCGGCAGCAAACTCCTGCCGTACAACCTCTACGCGGCCATTGGTAATTGTGTGCTGATTACTGTTAACTTGTACTTCCTAATCGCCTCCCCCTTTTCTTTTTCAGGCAACCAGCACCTGCGCACGTTGGCGGACGGCAAGTACGCCGCCGAGGGCGAAGAGTACGAGTACCACCTGCAGCTGGACGGCCAGCGGATGGTCCTGCTGAGCACCACCAAAATCTTCTACCTGGAGAAGTCGATGTTTGCGGGCGCCTGGGAGATCGACTGGTCGGAGGACTGGATGAACGTACAGGGAGCCACCGGCGACGGGGACCGCCTCAGCCTGACGGTGAAGATGCCGCCGGGCACCGGAGGCGGCTTTTGCTTCTTCGGCGGCGGCACCGTCCGCCGGACCATCGTCGACCGCAACGAGGAGCACATCAGAGAGCTGTACGGGCATGTGCGCCGCCACGTGGAGGGCGGCGGCTCCAGTGTGCCCAGTGCTGGTGGCGGCCCTGGCAGTGCTCCCGCTGCCGTCACTGCCACCACTCCTCAACAGCAGCAGCAGTGAACATCTGGCAGGCACATCTTTTTATCATTACATCTTTCGCCGCCACTTTAATGTACAGCATTTTTATTTTTTTTTGTTTCTCTGCTTGGGCTCCCCAAGTCATTTTGTAGAATTTTTAAAATAAAGCAAAAATTCATTTTATTTNCAGTGCTGGTGGCGGCCCTGGCAGTGCTCCCGCTGCCGTCACTGCCACCAATCCTCAACAGCAGCAGCAGTGAACATCTGGCAGGCACATCTTTTTATCATTACATCTTTCGCCGCCACTTTAATATACAGCATTTTTATTTTTTGTTTCTCTGCTTGGACTCCACAAGTCATTTTGTAGAATTTTTAAAATAAATCAAAAATTCATTTTATTGTGACGGGGAACTCCTCCGGAACAGGTGATCAAGTTGACATTATTTATAAGATGAGAAAAATAATTCCAAAAATGTGTAAGGAGTGGTGGTGGTGGTGGTGGGTGGTCGTGCTACAGCGCACGACAAAAAAAGTTGTGGGGAAAGTGGTGGTAATATAAAAGATGAAGAGGAGGAAGAGGAGAAAACTAATAACTACGACTACAACTACTACTGGCAGCAAAGAGGACACTAAACACAATCACAAAGTAGAAAATCACTAACAAACTAACAGTGTGTGCGCCACCAGTTCCGCAACCGCAAAAACAGGCAATGGTTCGTGCAGTGTGATAGGAGAGTGGTGGGTGAACGGGTGAACTGGTGGGCGGACGAAACAAAATCAAAGTAAAAAGAAAAAATTAAGTGCAGATAAGAAGGTGCTGAAGGCGTTAAAAGGTGAGGTAAAGGCGGCAGAAGAGTTTGCCAGGCAAAGAATTTGGGCATGAAAAAGGGCACGCCCCTCATTTGACTGGAGNAGGTGCTGAAGGCGTTAAAAGGTGAGGTAAAGGCGGCAGAAGAGTTTGCCTGAGGCAAAGAATTTGGGCATGAAAAAGGGCACGCCCCTCATTTGACTGGAGTTCCTCCTCATCTCTGGTGTCATCTCCTTCTCAATCATAGTACAGACACTGAGAGGAGAGCCGGCCATTTCCGCCTGTAAGATGGTGATGGTGGTTGCTGTTTGAGGTGGCGGAGGCAGAGGCGGCCGCAGCAACCGCCGCCGCCGCCTCCAGGCCGGCGTCCAGTGCGCTGATTAGCTTCTTGTTGTTGGCCGTGCTCGCGTAGTTCTTCGTCTTTGAGTGCGTGAAGATGTGCGACTTGAGGTTGGTCGACTGGGCAAACTTCTTCTGGCAGCCGTCAAAAGGACAGACGTAGGGGCGATCGCCTGGAGGAGGAGGAGAAGAAAGACAAACAGATGATCAGTATAAACACTTGAATACCTAATCCAATGAGCTTACCAGTGTGGATGCGAACATGAGTGCGCAGGTTAAAGTC